TGCTGGGTCTCCACCCTCACCTTGGTCGCCTTCTTTCCTCCCCATTCGCCCTTCATTCATCCCTCTCTCCTGCAGTGCTTGCGCTCCAGGCCCGAAAGAAAAGGACCAAGGCCAAGAAGGACAAAGCCCAAAGGAAGTGAGTCTCGCACCCCAACATTTCATTCTTTGGATTTCTTCCCGCACCTCCTCTGCGCTGGTTTCACGCCATCATCGTGTACCGGGTTTGGGCTTCTTGCGGCCTCAGCCACATGGCCTCCGGGCGGCCGAGGAGGGTAGCTCCCCTGAACCATGTGCAAGGGAGCTAATGTTGCTGAAGGCCGAGTCTGGGTCTTAGCAGCCCCGCGCCTGCTGGAAAGGGCCGTTGGGGGAGGGGCCGAGCTCTACCGGTACAGTACCTTCCCAGCTCCAGAGAGGAGGCACACGCTCCCCGAGTTTGGGCCTCCCCACCGAACTGGTAGATCATTATCAGTTTGTGAACTCTGCTGTCTTTCCCATACCTACTTCTCAGCTTCTTAACTTGCCTCCTACGTCTGCAGGGTAGGCAGTCACAGAATTGAATTTTCGTTGTTTTTGTCTGCTAGCCACACGCTCCCTTTTATACGGGATGGCATGGAGCTTTCCTCTGGGTTAGGCAGCTTCCTGAGCCTGCAGGGCTCATCGCCTTCCTTACAGTGTGCAGGCAGACCACTGGGTATACAGCCGGTTTCTGTTACTGCTTCTCTTCTCAAGTCCTTGCCCTGAATGCTGATAGATAACTTCTGGAGTGGGTATCACGGTGACGAGGAAGTTCTTTAGCCAGCGCACTTGGTGATTCTGGTTTGGTGTATTAAGTGCCACATGTCCGTTTTTATCAGGATGCATAATCGTGGTGTTAGCGCTGTTGTGGGAAACACAAAAGTTGGTCACAGCTTCACAAAAACGTCCAGTAGAGGGCTTCTGCAAGTGAGGCTTAGTCTGAAGAACTTATATCTTGTACTCACTTTTAATTACAAAGGGTCTTGGAAATTCTTTTAGACAATTTGTGTTCAGAAGAAAAGTGCATTTTTGGACACTTTCCCATTTACTTGGTGTTCTGTGGAATTGTATACCATCTAAGCCCTTCTGAGCTGATAAAACACATTTCAGAGGCTTTCCTAGGTTTCCTTTCTGAATGACAGTACCAGGTAGGGTCTTGTGTGTGTGTATGGCTTTTGGTGACTACCTAATGTTTCAGGAGAGCCATAATGACTTCTGTCAATAGAGCTGAAGTGGTGTAACCTCACGTCTTGCTTCCTTTCTATTAACTGTCTTAGGAAATTTTTTATTTTGTAATGTGCTTGATTACCAAGGCATTTAAATGTGATTTTTATCAGTAAATGTTTGGGTGTGTATTTATTTGCCTCTTGATTATCCTTGTGTGGATGATTCGAAAACCAGTTTTTACTCCCGGATGGGTTTAATGGAAACAACAAGGAGCTAACCCGGTTCCTCTGTGCAGTGGAAATTTAAATCTTACTAGTGTATGTGTGTGTGTGTGTGCGCGCGCGCGTGCACCTTAGAGTCATTATTCCCTGTTGAGCTAATATGAATGTGTTATAAAAAGATACATTTTCTGCTGATATAAGGAGGTGGTGATTTTATTTTTACTGTTTAGAATTCATCTGTCCTGATCTCTCCATGTCTCCACGTGGAAATGAACCTCGATATTAGCCTGAATAAACCTAGAAATTGGGAGGTAAATATGTATGGATAATCGTATAATTTATTTGTAAATTCAGATATTCATTACTTTGGATTATCCATTTAGGCCATATACTTTATTTCTAAAGCCAAGTGTGTGTATTTTAGATTATCTGTGACTCCTCCATTCACTACTGTGGGTAGAGTTATTTGTGTTCTTAATTTTTTCTGTACTTGCACAAAAATAAGAGAATAGTATGGATAATTAGCTGTTATTTTACTGAATATTTCATCTTGTACAACTTTGACTCCTTGAATCACTCCTCATTTACTTGTAGTTTCAGAGGTGCTTTATTTTCATTTTTATCTTCAATTAATGGTTTTTCTTAATAATTTTACCCCCCCCCCTTTTTTTTGGTTTCTCCAGCCTTCTTTTAAGTAGATGATATGTCTAATTAATTAACTTGGTTAGAGTCCTGTGTCAGAAGTTCAGGCTCCACCTGACTCAGGTAACTTGACTCTGTTCCATGACTGCTAACTGCACTCCTGACTTCCAGTCATTTTGCAAAGCCAAGCTGCTAGGTACAGGAGAGTGATTAGTCAGGGAGAAGGTCTGAGGAAGAAGCATGCTGTAGTTTGGTCTTTGGAATGAGTCAGATCTGGTTTGAATTCTAATTTTACCACTTTTTAGCAATCTGACCTTGGATGACTTAGTTAACTAAACTGTTTAACATGTTATGACTGGTAAATCAGTCATAATGAAAACTGATCAGGACTTGAAGTTAAAAAAAACCCAAACATTTAAGTGAAAAATGTTAGAAACTTTTGGAGGTACAACAGTAAATAGCATCCTAGTAATTTAGTTGTGGTGTGGTACAGGTGGAAAGGATTTTTAGTCCTCTGATTTTGTAGATCTTAAAACTAGAACCTACATATTTTGAATAATATGCCCGTGGAGCTGTTTATAGCAGGGTCAAACCTAGAATCCAGCAACTTGCCTTCCAGCTCAGTACTCTTTAGGATTTGTTTCCTTTGGGTTCTTTTTCTGTGCTGGAAGATCTGACTTTGGGGATTTTTAGTTATCTTATTTGAAGAATTCCTTCTCCATTTTACTTTTCAGACACTGTACTTTTATTTACTAACATTAACTAGTTGGTGATCATCTCTATTTTGCTTTACAGATAAGGGATTTGAGACTTGTCAAATTACTCCCCTAGAAGATTTAAAGCTAGGATTCTAACCCAGATCTGACACACTCCAAAGCCTAGATACTAACCATTGCTATCTGCAAGTGACAGTTCCTTTTGGTCTTTCCAAATAAGGGACCTCAGGATGCTGGGTGTTTAGGGACACATTCGGGGCCCACTGGGGTATGGCTGTAAAAGGATACAATGTTCTGTCTCCCTTTCAGTATTCAGTTTTCAATATATGTATCAATAGCTGTGTACCTTTATCTGTTTATTATAAGCTTTTATAATTTGACGCAATTTATGTCTGCTTTTGAAATTGTTTCCATGGAATATAATTCCAGAATGGATTTCATATCTAATAATTTTATTAGTTATCTTAGGAAGTTAGTTTGAAGAGTAATTTTCATTTTTATGCTATTAAAGAACTTTATGGAGTTAGTATACATTTGGTAGTAAAATTATTTGAGCTGGTGAAGTGCTTTTGTTCTTTCCAGCACTCATTCATCTATGGAGTCAGAGGGGAGATGGTTTTATTTCTTAATTTTCCAAAAATGTAGTTGTTAGATTGAAAACTTTGAAGGGACAATACTTAAAAATTTCCAACATTTTTTTCCAGTGAAGAGTAGAGTACATAAACTTGAAACCATTTTAAAAAATTACATTGGATGCTTTTTACACTTAACAGTGTACCTTGGAAATTGGTTCTTTATCAGTTCCATAGAGGGCAGCCTCAATATTTTTTTAAGGTCTGCCTTTTTCACTGTATCTTAGAAATGCTTCCATAGCAAGATACAGAGTAGCTTCATCTAGCATTCCATTAAATGAATGTACCATAATTTTAGTTCCTATTAATAAGCATGTATATACTTCTTAAGACAAAAATAGAATCATTGGTGCTTTTCCCGAGTTAATGTTACCAGGAACATTTTCCATAGCATTAAATATTTCACATCGTTTTAAATGTTCCCTGTAGGCTGTTTACAGTTTTTCACAATTCACAGCTAAGGTGAATAATCTTTTGGATAACCATTGCTCACATCAGTGATTATTTCCTCAGGATAAATTCTTAGAAGTGATATTACTTATATGCACATTTTAAAGATTTTTAATTCATATTGTCACAGTTTTCTTCAGAAAAAGTTAGCCAGTTTAACTCCTATTTGTTAAACACTGAGAAGCAGTTTTTTATTTTAATGGTGATAGAATAAACAATAGACATCATAGGTAAATTACAAAGTATATTAGATGGTAAGGTGGAAAAATAAAGAAAGATAAGGGATATTCAGAAGTGGAGATTGGGGGTACAGTTTTAAATAGAGTGATCTGATGGAGGCTACATTGAGAAGGTGACACTTGAAGGAGGTGAGTGAAAGAAGGCTGCTCAAGTCACAGTATTAGGAGTAGGAATATTCTTCTAGCTCCTGCTAAGCTACCAGACCTGGACAGTATTTGAAAAACTCCCCAAAGCTGGTCATCTGTAAGGTATCTTGTTTTAATTTCTTTAATTACTAACAAGATTGACCTGTTGGAGGATATTTTTATTGGCCTACTCTTATCTTTTGTCCATTTTTATATTTGACTGTTGATTATTTTCTTGATCTTAAAAGCCATTTATTACTAATATATCTTTTGTTATGTCAAAGATTTGTATTTCTCAGCTTGTTGTTAGCCTTTTAGATTTCATTTATAGTGTTTTTGACATAAAATGATTTTTTAAAAAATGGCTAATCCGTATTTTTATTTGCTTTTTATCTTTGAGTTTTCAGTGTCAAATATATGTTTAAAAATCAGTTAAATTTTTAATTGTGTGATTTCGTTGAAGTATGTACTTGCAAAACTGCACTTCTAGAATTGCTCTTGTCAGAAATATTTTCTTGTCCTCTTTTCTTCCTCAGTAAGTTTATATATGTTAGTAAATTTTGTTTGTGTAAGTGTATCTACTACGGTGAGGCCCAGAGGCTTGCCAGATTTACCATGTTCCTTTAGATTACTTGAAACCAGCAACTTGTTGAAGTGCTAAAAGTGATGGGTGCTTAGGGATTCCTTTATTAAAAGTGAAGGAAAGACAGGTTGGTCAACTAGAATCCATTTTTACTATATTTTTTAGACTTGGTAGAATAACTGCAGTAATAAACTTTTTTGTTTCTTTGTTTTCCACCTTAGGTAGGCTTTTCCCTAGTGTCCCCCAGATCTGGTCTACTACTAATGTTGGTTTGGGGACTAAGATCATTTTTGTATTGGCTAAAGTATTATTTTAATGCTTCTCTCACTGTAACTGAATTAATCC